CGACGGTGCGTTGCGCACCACGCTGGACAATCGCATCAAGGCAGCACGCGCGGGGCGGCGATCTCTCGGGCATGCATGGCACCAGCCACTCCCGCGCAGGCTGAAGCGCATGCTCTTCCTTTGTTTAACTCTGCTGCGATTTCTGGCCTGCCAGCTTTTGTACTGCCCGAGGACTTCGCTGATCGATTGGACAGCGTGATTGTAAAAATGCTTCGTGGTCTGATGAAAGGGAAGGCAGCCCTAAAGTTGGACGATGGTCGCACGCGCACAATGCCGCCCCGTGGCGCCCTACAGTTCTGGGAAATATCGCCAGCAGCCGTCGAGCTCCAGTTGCAGCGGTTACGTTGGATTCATACAATAGTCAGGGACCCGGGCAATCACGAGCAGGTCCTCATGGGGGCATTCGGGACCACTCGCTTGGATGAATGCGTCAAGCACCGCCGCCTCGACAGCACTGGCAAAGTATGCGAACACAGCTCCCCGTGGGCTATGCAATGGTTGAGCGATCTCAACGCATTAGCTAAAGCAGTCCAGCACTACAGCGACATACATGTCCAGGTATACGGATTCATGCCAGACTTTGATTGTACAAGTGGTTGGCACGACACCCAAAATATCACGGAGCTATTTAAAGACACAGAAGCAGCATCAGTATTCAAGAAATTCAAGATGGACAAGCCTATTCCCCGCACCTGGCTAGAGCGATCACGCGACGACGAGCGACAAGCACGAGGGCACGTCATGCACGACGAAAGGGAGAGGGCGAGGGAGAGCACTTGTGCATGCACGAGTTGCACGATGGCACGGCCTGCGGAGCTACGTGCCCTACAATGAAGGCCCTAAATGCACATGGTACTTTCGCTCACCAACTTCGGAACGAATACTCGCTCGCCATCTGCACGAACACGTGCCCACGGTGTATGACGACGTTTGCGAGCAAGGCCTCATGCCTGAGACGCGCCTGGGCGATGGCCGCACAGATGCCGAGACAATGCCCAACCCGCTCCGTATCTTCCGATCTCTGGCCCGAGCCTGATCCTCCTTATACGCGCGGGCGCTGCAGTATCGTCCACCAAGATTTACACTCACACTTGCTTCACGTGCGTGAGCACGTCCCTGGCCCAGAGACACAGGATGTTGGGGACAGCGGAATGGACGTCGCCGGCCTCGGCGGTGACGCGCCCGCGATCTCAGACCTTCGAAGCAGCAGGCGCCGCAGCCGCACCAGCAGCACAGCGACCACGACAAGGCCCAGCACCGCAAGGTGGGCTCCAGCAGCGGCGTGCGAATGCTGGGCATGGATTGGGAATGCCTGCAGAGTCCGAGGAAGTGACGACGCTACAGAGGGCCGCCCTCAACACGATGCAGATGTCGAGGCACCTGGCGGGCTCGGTCTGGGACTTCTACTTGATTCCAGAGAACGAGGCGACGGACCAGGGCGCGGAGATGGGGACAGCCTACGCAGAGAAGGTAAAGGCAGGCGAGAAGGATCTGGGCAGCCGTCACATACATATCGTGGTCGCCTTCTTAGGAGGACTGGTACGACTGGATTTGCCGAGCCCATCGAAAGAGATCCTCGAGGCTTTCGCTATTTTGGTGACCAAGATGTCACGCCTGCACGTGGGGGACCTTGTCCCATACTTCCGTCTCAAGGCCGCGTGCACGCCCATGGGCCAGCCGAAAACGTACGAGCTACATATCATGTACAACTCCCTCGCAGCCAGCCCGTTCATGGACGAATCGGTCATCGCCGCAGTCAACCGCGCCAGGGGGCAGCACAGCGAGGGGCCCAAGGAGCCGCTCAAACTACCGCCGATCACAGCGCAGCAGTTTCGCCAGGCAGTGCATCAGGCCATCGCCCACACGGGTGGCACGACCATCCAGGGGTCAGCACCGCCGAGCACACTCGAGCTCGCACTTCAGAGCCAGCTCCGCGCGCGCCAGATGCGAGATACGCAGATGTGGACGCGGCTGGCTTACGGAAGCAAGCCAAGGCAGGCAGTCAACGAGCAAAAGATATGCTGAAACGAACGGGTTTGCAATATCTGTGGATCCGAGCTTGCATCAATTCAATGTCTTTGAATGTCTTTGATTGGATGGAATACTATCTAGTATTATCCAGTATGTCCAGTCGCTTCGGCCTCTGTGAAGGCGGCTGGGTGATGCGCCCTGTGCATGCCCTCACCTACACCAACCACTCACCAATATACTATTGATATCAGTGGATATACGTGTACATACCAACCTGGCTTTGGCCATAACTTGCCTCAGAGCGCACCGTACCATCGCTCACCTCTGGCACTTCCGAGCTCCACGGGATCACTCCTGCCTTGAGCTGCCTGGTTGCTGGACTTCTTGGAGTGATGGTGCAGTCTCGGGATCTGAGGCGCGGCAGCCGCGCTGCCTTCTGAGGTCTCGATTGACGTCAGTGTTCTGATTCAGCCTACGCTTATGCGTTCGGGGTGGAATTAGCTTTGTCCGTCAGGATCGAGCTGTACCACCCGCCCCGTCCAGGACGGTCTCATCCCCGCCCAGCCTGGACTACTTCGGCTAAGATTCCTGCTCTCTGGGACATGTGAGCGCGGCCACATTGCACGGTGGTGTAGCATAACGTTCATTGTCTCACACATGTACGTCGTACCTAGCACGGCACAGTGAGCACGCGATGCGCATAATTGTTTGCAGATTGTGCCCTTAGCGTCCACTAAGCATGTACCTACATGTTTGAACGCAGATTGGGAGGGTTGAGCCTAGTGTATCGCCCTCTTGTTTTGCTCTAGTTAGGAGGTCTGAGACGGTCTAGGGCCGACGAGGGGCCCAAGGCTTTATAGGCCCCCACGGGCTCCTTCAGGCGCCCTACCGCTCCGCCCACCGACAGTGCCAGCAGCAATGCAGGACGCTGACAGGCGCCCAATCTTCCAAGGCCCGTGCTCCGCGCATCGAAGCCGAACTGCTGCCGAGGTCGCTCGCTCGCTCGCTCGCTCGCTCGCTCGCTCCTCCTCCTCCTCCTCCTCCTCGTGATCCCCGTCCGTCTCGCTCGTCGCTGCTTCGAGCCTCTCTGCTCGCTCCTCGCCCCTCGCTCCTCCTGTTTGGGCGATTTCGTGGACCGTGACCGTTTTGATGTTGTTCCGCAGCAAGGGCGGAGCGGAGACGGAAGGAAGGAGAACGAACGCGACACGGAACCACGAGAGGACAGTGGAGAGACGAGCGAAAGCGACACGAATGCGAAATGAGGGATAGCGGAACGATTTTATAGAAAAGGAGAGCCACACCGGCACGAGCTCGAAAAAAAAACGTCTAGTTCGAGCCCTGCCGGAAGCCCTGTGCCTCCCGCCGCCGGCACCGCCCGCGCTGGCCGAGGCAGGGCCCATTCCGACTGCGCGCAAGAGTGGCCCTTCGCTGGAGCGACCTTTGGGTGCGGGCTGATCAGGGTCTCCCCGATGGTTGATCGGAGGTCGCGATAGGGGCGAACAGTCCAAGGGGAAGCACTGCATGTACCTAGGGGCGCCGATGATCAATGTCTCCGGCGCGGCTCCTGGGCGATTGCGTGCAATGCCCATCCTTGGGCTAGTCGTCCTTATCGTCGCCGCCGACTAGAGCGCAATACGGCAGCGGCTGCTTGCCCGCTTGGATTGGGCTGCCTTCCGCCCCCCCCTCGTGATCCCCCTCCCTCCCCCCTCCCCCACCTCCTCATCTTCCTCCTCTTCCTCCTCTTCTTCCTCCTCCTCCTCCCTCCGCGTCTTCTTCCTCTACATCCGACTACTACATCATCACTCTCACATTAGATAATCACCGTACGTCCTATGAATCCTCTCCTTTTTCTAGCCCCGTCAATCCTATAAGACCGGACTACTACCTCCTCCTACCCTTCTCCTCCTCCTCCTCCCCTTCACTTTCCTCCTCCCTCCTTCCTCCTCCTCCCCTCTTCTCTCCTCCGCCTCCTCCTCCTTCCTCCTCCTCCTCCTCTCGCTCTCCCTCGCCTCCTCCTCCTCCCATCCTCCTCATCCTCCTCCTCCTCCTCTTCCCTTTCTCCTCCTCCTCTCCTCCTCTTCCTCTTCCTCCCCCTCCTCCTCCTTCCTCCTCCTCCTCCTCCTTCCTCCTCCTCCTCCTCCTCTCCCCCCTCGTCTCCATCATCTCCCTTTCCTCCTCCTTCTTCTCCTCTTTCTATTACTCCTCCTCCTCCTCCTCCTCCTCCTCCTCTCCCTTCTTCTCCTGGTTCTCGTGATCCTCGTTCGTTCTCCCACCAAAGGAGGTCGCTCTTGCCTAGGGGGCCGCTCCTTGCGTTGCAGCCGAGGAGCTGCCTCTGGAAGCCCCGTGCCGCGCGCCAGCCCCGCCCGCGCTGTCCGAGGTAGGGATAAAGTCGTCCTCGTCGTCCTCGTCGTCGTCCTCATCGTCGTCGTCCTCGTCGTCCCTCCTCCTCCTCCTCCTCCTTCTCCTCCTCCTCCTTCTCCTCATCCTTGTCCTCTTCCTCCTCTCCTCCTTCACGTCTCTCCTCCTGCCTTCCTCCTGCCTCATCCTCCTCCTCCTGTGCCTCCTCCTCCTGTATCCTCCCTCCTCCTTATCCTCCTCCCCATCCTCCTCCTCACTCCTCCTCCTCCTCCTCCTCATCCCTCCTCCCTCCCTCCTCCTCCTCCTCCTCTTCCACCCCCAGACCCCCTCCGATCGCAACAAAAAATCACGACGGGAGGTTTTTCTAGATTTTCGGCCTCTGGGGACCCTCGCCGGGCCCTGGGACCGTCAGGAAACGACACCGGACGAAAAACAGGTCCGGGGGGGAAGGGGCCCAGACCTCTGGAGGTCGACCTCTGGGGGATGACGTCGGGGGTCCTTTGCGAAGGTGCTCCCAGAAGCTCTCGCCATGGTTCGTGCAATCGTTCGTGCGGGATACGCACGCCGTACAACATCAGCGCGTGGCTGCCACGCACCGTGCCCAACGAGATGAACCATTGCACGTTTTGTGGCGGCCCCTTTACGGAGGCCCCCCTCTGCCCGGAACCACAGGAAGCCCTCTGCCGCCCGCTGGCCGCGCCCGCGCTGGCCGAGGCAGGGCTGCCGGAGGACCCAGACTCCCTCCTCCTCCTCCTCCTCCTCCTCCTCCTCCTCCTCCTCCTCCTCTTCCTCCTCCTCTTCTTTTCTCCCGCCTCCCCCTCCTCCTCCTCCTCCTCCTCCTCCTCCTCCTCCTCCCCTCCTCCTCCTCCTCCCCCTCCTCCTCCCCCTCCCCCTCCTCCTCTACCACCCCCAGACCTCCTCGAGTCATGACAAAACATAGGACGGGAAGTGTCTCATTCTTTTCGGCCTCTGGGGGCCCTCGCCGGGGACGGGGTCTAGTCCTCCTGCCGGGGGCTCAAGAGACGGGGTCAATGCAAACGGGGGTCAGCCAGAGGGCCAGATCTTGCAGGATTCTGCAGGGCCAGGGTTGCATTGACCCGGGTTTGGGTGCAGGATCCTGCAGTATTTTGATGGAGTCTGCAAGGCTTGACTGACCCAGGTTTGCATCGACCCGGGTCAGTGCGTCCCCGATCCTGGCGGTCGACGTTATGACAAAATCATGACGTCGAGTGTCTGGGAAGCTTGGTGCCGCCCGCGCTAGCCCCGCCCGCGGTGGCCGAGGCAGCTCTCATCTCAGCCACGCGCAGAGGGGTCACTGTCAACCCCGACAGTGAGGATGATCGCCTCCCCCAGGGTACACCTTGCACCCTTGCCTATTCGGTCATCCTCGGTCCGTCCTCAGCCACTTTCGATGGCCAGCCCCGCTCGAAGAGCCTCGGCATGGGCGTCCAAGGCTCTTGCGTCCTTACCGCGCTTCTGAGAAGGTGCTGGCCCTGCCTATAGATGTAAGGCGGCTGGCGCCTTCCATGCAACAGCCTTCCCCAAACTCCCCCTGCCCCACTGTGCACGCCGCCAAGCAGGGCTCATTCCGATTCCTCCGAATCGATTCGATTCGATTTCGATGGATTCCGATTCCGATTCGGCTGCGGCTTCGGCTTCCGATTTGGATTCCGATTTTTCTGTGGAGGCCTATTCGCCTGCCAGAGTCCGCCGGTTCGACTTCTCGCGACTCCGCTGCCGACTTCCGCCGATCCCGATTTGCTTCGACGGCCGACCGCGCAGATCGATTCGACTCCGAGCTCCCCTACCGGGGCGACCATCGGAGCATTCTGCAGTGACCCAATGGGAGCAGCACGTGTCCTCCGACGTCCGCCTGCAGAGTGCCCTGGCGCGTGCCAGCGCCTAGGTGATCGATGGGATAAAGCGCCGATGCAGCGCCGACTTGGCGTCGATTGGCTCCGGCCAGCGTCGGTTCGCAGGAGCCAGCAGGATGACATGGGAGGCTCCCGTGAGCTGCCTAGAATGATATCGGTTCGCCGCACACTCACCTCAAGACAGGCAGGGGGGGCGACCCCTCCCCGTCAGAATGAGAGAAAGTCGTCATCGTCGTCGTCGTCGTCGTCGTCGTCGTCGTCGTGTCCTCGTCCTCGTCGTCGTCTTCGTCGTCGTCGTTGCCGTGGGGGACATCGGCATGAGCATACGGTCAGGAGCGGATGTCAGCAGGAGTTCTCCTCCTCCTACTCCTACTCCTACTCCTCCTCCTCCTCCCCCTCCTTCCTCCTCCTCCTCCTGCTCCTCCTCCTCCTCTTTCTCCTTCTCCTCCTCCTCCTCCTCCTCCTCCTCCTCCTCTCCTCCTCCTCCTCCTCCCTCGTCCTCCTCCTCCTCCTCCTCCTCCTCCTTCTCCTCCTTCTCCTCCTCTCCTCCTTCATCCTCCTCCTCCTCTTCCTCCCTCCTCCTCCTCCTCCCTCCTCCTCCTCCTCCTCCTCCTCCTCCTCCTCCTCCTCCTCCTCCTCCTCCTCCTCCTCCTCCCCCTCATCCCCCTCCTTGCCAGCTCGGGGAGTGGGCCCTGGCTCTGGAGTTCGTGCACTGTGCCAAAAAAGGAATCCCTCGCTCGCAGTGGCCTCTGTACGTAGGACGGTGCCAGCAGCCTCGCCTCAAGTACGCCCCCATCGTGCCACGCGCCAGCGACGGCCCTCCTCTCGCTGACCGCCATGCCCGTTTTTGGCAGGCCCTCGCTGTGCAGGCCTCCTTGCTTCTGCGTTTGGCTGATCCCGAGGCGGATCCTTCCGAGCCTTCTACTCCGCGCGCCCGCTGTGGTGAGCAGTTCTGGAGCACGATGCGCGGGCTGGAGGCCCTGCAGCTGCCCCCGCCTTTCGATCCGAACGACGCGGTGGAGAAAGCGATCCTTGAGCGTTGGATCTCTTGGCTCCGCCAGCTTCGCTCGCTGTCGCTCGACAGCCTTCAGCAAATCGCGGAGGAGGCTAAGGAGCAGGGAGTCCAGGCTGCCCAGCGCGCGGCTGCGGCGGCCCGTGCGCGCTGGCGCTCCTGGTTGTCCGACGCTTTGGCGGGCTCTGCTAGCAAAGCCCATAGGCTCCTCCGCGATTCTCCCTCAATCTGTCGCGCCGAGCCTGTCTGGGATGGAGAGCCTGCCTCCACGCCCTCTGCCGTGCTGGAGGCGGAAGGCGCCTCGTGGCACGCAATCTGGTGCAAGCATTCGCGGCCCGAGGCGTTGGAGGCCCTCGCGAGGATCCGCCGTGCTGCTCTGTCGTCAGCCTGCTTCGAGCCTGTTTCTCCTGACCAGGTGAGGGGGGCGTTAAAGACCGTTCCTGATCGTCGGGGGAGGGGGATTGACATGATGCCGCCTCGCCTGGTCAAGGATGCGCCGCCTGCTGCCATCGATGCGCTCGCGGCCCTTCTGACGGCCATCGAGCGCGAGGCCACAGTGCCCTTTCAAGAGCTGTTCAACCTCATCGCCTTGCTGGACAAGGAGGATGGAGGCCTGAGGCCCATCGCCTTGCTCAATTTCAGCTACGTGTTGCTATGCCGCATTAGGAAGCCAGTGATAGGCGCCTGGGACCGTGACCAGCACGGGGCCTGGGACAAGACAGTGGGCGGCTCGGCCGATCTTGCGGGGTGGTTGGACGAGCTGGAGGGGGAGCTTGCGCTCCTGGGAGGCTTCGAGGTTGCGGGCGGACTGCTCGACCTTCGGAAGTTTTACGACCTGGTGTCCCTGCCTGATTTGGCGGCGGCGGCCCAGGATCTAGGCTACCCTCTCCGCCTCCTCGCTCTCGCCCTCGACGTCTACCTCGGTCCTCGCCTCCTCACCCTCCAGCGCCAGGTGCACACAGGTATCTTGCCTGGTGGAGGCATCCTCGCCGGCTGTGGCCAAGCTGTCTCGCAGGCGCGCGCCTACCTGCACGCCCCGCTGAAGGCGGCCCACTCCTTGGTGCCAGGGTTGCGCCTGAGGGAGTGGATCGACGATCTCGCCTTCCGCCTTTTCGGCACTGAGCACTCGCTCAGCTTGGCCTTTCCAGTGGTGCTGCGCGCCCTCTTTACGGGCCTGCGCAGGCTGCGATGCGAGTTTTCCCTGGGAAAGTGCGGCCTCATGGCCTCTTCTGCTGCCATCCGCGCCTTGCTGCCCGCGTGGGCGTCGGCGGCCGAGGTCGGGGCTGGTGGCCTCAGGACTGTTCGTGTTGCCCGCGACCTCGGCCACGACACATCTTTCGGTGCCTCGCGCTCCGTGAAGGTGCGCAAGAAGCGTTTCATGAAGGGCAGGCGCGCCGCTCTCAAGATTTCGGGACTGGTCAGGTCCGCGCCGCGAGCCTCACGCCTTTTCGTCTCCAATGCCCTGCCGAAGTCGGTGTGGGCGCCTGAGGTGCACGGGCTGGCGCCGACCATGCTGAAGCAGCTTCGTGGTCAGGCGCGGCTGGCCAGCAAGTGTCCTCAGCGCGGCACGTGCGCTACTGTGGCCATTCGCATCAGTTTTGGGGCGCGGCGCGACCCGCCCATCTGGTACCTGCGGCACATCGTAGGTGCGTTCTACTCTCGAGTCCTTGGAGAGGACGGCCTCGCTGCCAAGGTCCAGCGAGGATGGGACGCGTCCCTGGAGCGTGTGGCGCGTGGCTGGAACTTCGTGCGCGGCCCGCTTTCGGCCTTTCAGGCCTCTGTCCTTTCTGCTGGCTGGCAGTGCCCGTCCCTGTCCAAGTTGGTTGAGCCAGACGGGCAGGAGTGGGAGCTTTTCGCCACCACCGTCGCCCCCGTCACCAGCCTCCTCGCGGCTCTGGAGCAGACCGCTGAGAACGCGGTTTGGCGCCAGGCGGCCAAGCATCTTGACGGGGGTGGGGCGGAGGAGGGCGTCTGGTGGCAGCACGCGCCTGCACTGGCGGAGCGGCTGGAGAAGGAGTCCCAGCACAGTCTTGCCAGCCTTGTTCGCCTAGTTGCATGCGGTGGCTACTGGACGGAGGAGCGACGTTTCCAGGCTGGCTACCGCACGGACGACCTGTGCCAGCGCTGCCACCGCTCCCGTGAATCCAGCCGTCATCGTTTCTGGGAATGCATGTGCAATTCCATGGAGAGGGACTGGGCGCTCTCGGTCGGTGTGCCTCCCCCTCCTGAGGCTGTGGTCTCCTCCAACCACCTTCGCAGTCAGGCGTTGGAGGAGATCGACCGCTTCCCTGTTTTCTGGTGCCGCGGGCTTGTGCCCCTCGCCTGGCTGAACCTCCCGCCGCCCCCTGACGAGCGTGGCCATCGTTGGCTGCGCTGCGGCGTCGGGGCGCTGCCAGGGGGGATCTACGCTACCGACGGTGCAGGTGGAGCCTGGTCGTCTCAGCCCTTGCTACGCCGTGTGGGGTGGAGCTTCGCTCGCCTTGACGACGGCCAAGGCTTGGACTGGGACTCTGGCTGCACGGGCTTGGTGGACGGTCCTGTGCAAACTGTGCCTCGCGCTGAGCTCCTGGCCATTGTGGAGTGCGTCAGGGCCGTCCACCCTGCTGCCGATGTCAAGCTTTATTCCGACCACGTGAATCACGTGAATGCGATAGCGCGCGGACGCCGCCACTGCTACAAGCTCGAGCACGCGGACCTCTGGCACGATCTCTTCTCGCTGCTTGACGCCCGCGAGGGCCGCTTCGCGCTCCTGCACGTGCCCTCGCATCTTGCCGAGGACCCAGCTAAGTTTGCTCGCCTCGGCCACTCTGTGCTGCCCGAGGCTATTTTTCTCAATGCGGTGGCCGATGGGCTCGCCGAGGAGCGGGCTGAGGAGGTTCAGCTTGATCCAGACGTTGCCCGCCGCGCTTTGGACCTGGTGGAGCAGGCCGAGGCCATCCTGCTCCGCAATGCCACTCTCTGTGCTGCCGCCGCCTCCGCCCCCAAGAGCCCTGGCCGTGAGGTTACCAAACCCAAGGTTTCTAGGGCTCAGAGGAGGGAGGAGCTGCTTTCGGGCTTTGCGGCTCGTTCCCAGCATGCCTTTGCCTCGACCGCGTTCGGCTGGTGCTGCAAGAGCTGTGGCCGATCGGTCAGGCGTTCTCAGAGCCGCGCCCTCCACCTGCTGCGCTCCTCGTGCTCGGCCTTGCGGCCGCCGCCTAGCCCGCCTCCCTGCCGCGTGGAGCTGCAGCAGCGAGGCCATCAGAGGGAGGGGGACGGGGCGGACGAGGACGGGGGGGGGGACGGTGAGGTGCCTCTCGAGCCTGCGGTCGAGCCAGAAGCGGACGCAGCTCCCGCGCTTCGGGTCTGCGTCAGGCTGCCGCGCTCGTACTCGGGGCTGCCGCCCATCGACGAGCAGCTCTTTCGTTCTCTGGGGATGCCTGATCCCCCCTCTCGCTTGCCTCCTGGCACGGGCATTGCTGGACATGTGCCGCATGCCTCTCACTTTTTGTGGCGCAAGGGTGCCATCACTTTTTGCAGCCTCTGCGGGCGCTACGCTGACTCCAGGCCCTCGCGACTTCTGGAGGAGTGCGAGGCGGCGAGGCACGGACCTTTCGCGCTGACCAAGGCGCAGCTTACTGCCCTGCTGCGGCTGCGCAAGGGCCTCCCTCCCAGGCCTGGGGTCTGCGAGTGGCCCTCGGCGGGTGTTTAGCCCGCGTGTTTTGACTGCCAGCCTGTCGCCCGGCCTTTTTGCTTTCGCGATTTGGGTGTGCGCCTGGCTGCCGTGCATTGCAAAAAAGCTCCTCCTCCCCTCCTCCTCTCCTCCTCCTTCCTCCTCCTCCCCCTCCCTTCCTCCCCGCTCCTCCTCTTCTCCTCCTTACCTCCTCCTTCCCTCCTCTCCTCTCCCTCCTCCTCCTCCTCCCTCCTCCTCCTCCTCCTCCTCCTCCTCTCTCCCTCCCCCTTCTCCTCCCTCCTCCTCTCCTCTCTCCTCCTCCCTCCTCCTCCTCCTCCTCCCCTCCTCCTCTCCTCCTCTCTCTCCCTCCTCCTCCTCCTCCTCCTGCCTCCTCCTCCTCCCCCTCATCCCCCTCCTTTCCCTCCTCCTCCTCCTCCTCCTCCTCCTCCTCCTCCTCCTCCTCCTCCTCCTTCCCCGGGCAGCAGCGTCCCGAGCTGCTCTCTGGCGCCCCGTCCCGCGGAGCGGCGCGGCGCGCTGGCTCTCTGTGATGCTCCAGCCTACTTCCGCGGGGCTCGTTGCGGTTCCTGCGGCTCGATGCCCCTTCGGCTTCGAGGGCTTTTCCGATTCAGGTGCGGTCCGACCCGGGATGTCGATCCGGGCGCCGATGCTTCCATGGAGGCCTACCAGCCCTGCCGAGTTCTGCTGATTCGACTTCTCGATCGCCGATGCGACTCATCGATTCGATTCTGGGCTCTCCTGCCCGTCCCGCGGAGTGGCGCGGCACGCTAACTGTATGATGTTCCGACCTACTTTAGCCTTTACCACCAGGAAGAATTCCGAGCACCAGGAACGTACCGAAACTGGAGGGCTCCCACGCGGCGGGGCCCTGGGAGGCGAGACTCGTTCGACACCCTTTCGACCCTTTTTTCTGGGTGCTCGAAATTCTGTCTGGCATGTGGTCCCCAAGTCTAAGTACGATGGGACCAGCATAACGCTAGATACAGTCGGCCCGGATTAGTAGGTCGACCCTGCCAAATCAGGGGTACCTTTCCGTCCTGTGTCTCGCGACCCGTGCTTCTTGCGTTCCTATATGGCAATGTGGCCCCCCGGAAGGGTCTTCTGTCCTCTCGCGTGTCCTGTCTACTGAAGTCCGACCGTATCCGCTTGCCCGGCACGGGCGTGCCGCGGGAGCCGCCGCCGCGACACGCTGGGCAGGGCGCCCTCGGCCGTGGCCTCCCGGAGGTCCGCGCGGCATGCCTCGGATCGCCGCAGGCCCCTCTCTGGCGGCGGGCCCGGCGCCGCCCCCTGGGCGCGCGTTCCGCGCGCTTTCGGAGGGGGGAGCCCGGCGCAGGTTCTCGGGGCAGCCCTGCGGACCTCCGACAGCACGGTCTCGACTACACGTAAGAGTGCACACTTCGCCGGAGTGACCTCTGGTGCGGGCTCGTCGGGCTCCCCCCGATCGCCGAGCGTGATGCGACATGAGCGGCCCGCGCCCTGGGTTTGGCTCCCTCGCGCCCCCAGAAGCTGCGCACCAAAGGTCACTCTCACCCAGGGTCGCTCTTGCGTCTAGCCGACGGTCGAGCACATGATCGAGAGACCTCCTCGTCGGACGCCTGCGCCAGCGTTTCTTCACCAGCTCGGCAGAGAGGTGGGCCAGGTGCTTGAGCGCGTGCGCCCCTCCAGCGTTGACAGCAGAGGTCAGAGGTTGGCCCAGGCTTGCTTGCAGGAGCTTCCGGGAAGCTGGCCCAGATGTCTGGCATGATTAGTTTCTCGATCGTACGTTTGACAATGCAATGTCTACGCCGACTCTTCTTCTTCTGGCGAAGGACGGCTGCTCATCTGGGCTGCTCGCGCCCGCGCGGGACGCGAACGGAGCGATCGTGTGGGCGCACTCCTGGGCTGTCGGCAGCAGGATCCTGACATCCGGCGGCTCCCGCGTCGTCTCCCCAGAGTTCCAGCTCGGCCTGCCTGGGCAGGAGCCCACGAGGTTCGCGCTGATGCTGACCACTCACAGGGAGAGTCTCGGCACGGTGGGCAGGGGCCGCCACTCCTTCAAGAAGTCGAGGGGCCGCGGGCTGGCCATGATCAAGTGCAAGGGCGGCCCGCTCGCAGCCTCCACGTTCGGCATCGCCCTCTGGCTGGAGGACGGCGGCGAGGCCCCGTGGCACCCGCCCGCGGTGCAGCACAGCTTCGCCGAGCGCAGCGCCTACCAGCACGAGCCGTGGCAGCTCTGCAGTGGCGACTCCGACCGGGCGGAGCTCACGGTGGCCCTGCGGCTCACGCTGGCGGCCAGGGCCGCAGAGGCCCCGCGGCCCGCGCTGGCGGCGACTGCGCCAGCGCCAGCGTCGTCGGCGCTGGCGCCGGCCGCGCCCAGCGCCCCGGCGGGCCTCGGGGGCGCCGCCGCCCTTGGAGCCCCTGAAGCCAGGACCTCGCAAGCCAGGCCTCTGCACGTCCTTGCCGGCGAGGGCCAGCAGGAGTGGTGAGTGCTTCGATCCGAGGCCGCAGCCGTCGCGGGGGCGCCGAGGTCCTGGTGACGCCACGGCTCGCGCCAGCGCCGCCCCCCTCTCCCCCCCCTCTCTTTTTTCCTCTCCCCCCCAGCAAGAGCCGCTCTCGCGAGAGGATGATCCTCCAGCTGTTTTGCATACCACACCCGCCCCTCCCCAGTCAGATTCCCCCGCCCGGGGCCACTACCAGCATACAACAGATCGCGCCCCAGGGAGGGAGTTTTGTATACCATGCCCACGACCAGGACACATGAGCAAGAGCCGGCTTCGCGTAGATCTCTCGCCGGAGTGATCTTTGGTGCTGGCCCACAGGGGTCCCACCAGCACTGGCCAGTTCCGCCACGCGCAGAGGGAGATCGGGGGAGGGGGGAAGGCTTCTCAGAGGGCGGCTGCCTCTGAGAAGGCGCGGGCCTTGTCTATAGATGTAAGGCCGGCGCCTTCTAAGAAGCAGCCTCTTTCTAAGTCGCCGTTTTTTTATGTTTGCTTCGCCGATCGGCGCGCCCCCCGTCCGCCCCCTCTCCCCCCAAATACACCAGATCCTGGATGCTTCTGGCGGCTGCTTGTGGCGACTGGTCAGGGTCCCTCTGCCCCAGTCTGCTTGCGCGAAAGTTAAAGGCAGATCGACTGACCACCGGCCCCTCTCCCACCCTTCGGCCAAATGTCGAAACCCAGAACTACATGAACCCGGCGCGACCCCTATTAGGGGAAGTATTCTTACTGCATGGGCGTAGTGTTTGGCATTGCTTAGCATTGCTTCGCATGAGGCACCGGGGAACCCGGGGAACCTCCGAGGAACGGGCAAAGTAAGCCCCCGAGGATCCGTCTTTTCACGAAGTAAGAACCCCTTCGGGAGCCAAATGACGAAACCCAGATGGAACATAAAAATAAGAAACGCCAGCTTAGAAGCCTTCCCCTCTCCCCACACCGTACATCGACGAACTGTTGCACCACTTTTGTTGCGCATTGACACCTATTACTGCATTGCTGTCCACCCTTTTCCCCCCGATCTTAATAGTGGGTGCATGGCGGAGAGTTCTTGGGCCGCCCGGGGACTCCCGTCAAAATGTTGCACCACCGAGCTGTTTCGACCAGCCCGGACTGAACCCAATATTGAGATCGGGGGGGGAGAGGAGAGGGGGGTGGAAAACAAAAGCTTATGGAACAGCGATGCAATGCATTGTCCGCGCCAGGTGGTGCAACATTTTGTCCATGTGCCGTGCCCCCCCTGTGCTCCAGGCCTCCCAGACGGGGTCGGAGTAGATGGGGTCGAAGGATCGCGCCGCATCGCGGATGCACCGACGATGCGGCCCGACGCGGAGCCCGACTTTCGCCACGCCGACGGAACCCGTGCGTCGCGGGCACCGCCGCCGCATCGCCAATGCATCGCCGATGCCTCGGCGATGCAGCGCGATCCTTGGACCCCATCTGCTCGGACCCTGGCCTCTATCGGAGGTGGACAGACCTCCTACCCTGACGCGTCGATTCAGGAATGGGCCGTTTTCGGTTCGCGAGAGGGCGCCGCGGCCGTCATGTTTGCGGGTCCAGGTCCGTCGGTTTCGGTCCCAGGCCGTTTTCTCTAAGGGGAGGTCTACTAAAGGGAGGTTTGTCCACCGCCGACAGACGCTCGTTTGGGGGACCTAGCTTCCTGAGACCCACCAAACGGACCTGTTCGACTGCAGCTCGACCCCAGCTCGACTCGAGTTCGACTCAGGTGCGACTCGGGTTCGACTCTCAGGGTCGACTCGAATCGACGGACGTTCTCGGAGCCCCGAATCATCAGGGGTAACTCGGGTCAGGGCTAACTGGGGTTCGTGTTCCGGGAATCCAAACCCGAGTTACCCCGGGCTCGAGTTCCCCCGGATAACTCGGGCGTCCACGGACCCAAGTCATCAGGGGTCACTCGGGTCAGGGCTAACTCGGGTTCGTTCTTCGGGAATCCGAACACGAGGTACCCCGGGCCCGAGCTACCCTGGATAACTCGGGCGCCCAACGTTCGACGCAGCTTCGACGCACGAGTGGACCCGCGTGTCTCCAGGAAGGTCCCCAGGAGGAGCATCCAACCCGGCGTGCGGCCGGCGGGGGGGGGCCGAGGCAGAGGGGCCTGGGCGTCGGGGGGGGGGGGTTGGGGGCCGCGGCTGGAGGCGATGCCAGCGTAGGATTAAGTCGGGCACGTCCCTCTACTGAAGGAATATTCAAGAAGAGTCAGAAAATAGTTTGAGGACTATTTTTCGATGATCTCTGAATATTTGTTCGATTATGCTTGTTTCGCCATGTTTAAAGAATCGCTCCAAAACCCACCTGTAGTCGGAGGACATGCCCGACCTAAGCGTAGGACCCAGACCCCGCCTCTCGCGCTGTGGCCAGAGATCCCGGCGGGATGTGTCTCGCTCTCCTTTCGGCCTCCAGGGGCCCTCGCCCCAGGCCTCGGGGCCGTGAAGTCAGCGACTCGTGAGGAAGAGCGGGTCCTTGGAAGGGCCTCTCTCCGAGCCCCGCTGGGGGCGCCGAGCCTGCCAGGGCGCGGGAGACGCCTCGGACGCCAGGCGCCTCCCCCCCCTCGGCCCCCCCCGCGGGCCCCTCGAGCGCGGGGGGGGGGGGAAGGCGGGGGGATCAGTTCTCCTCCTCCTCCTCCTTTTTCTTGGTATTGTTATTTATATTGTTAGTGTTATTCCTACGGTTCGTCTTCTTGGCATTCGTTTATGATTCATATGGTCTTGCTAATCGTATGTTTATGCTCCATATTGTCATTATTATATGTATGATTCGTCTTCTTCTTATTCTTCTACGTATTAATAATCATGTTCTTAATATTATTGTTGTTATTATTATTAGACGTAGTCGTAGTAGTAGATGTATTATTATTTGTATTAGTTTCATTATTCCTCATCCTCGGGTCGAAGCCTCTGAGGGCCGACGCCATGAATAAGTTATGACGTCGGGGGTCTGGACCGGCCTCGGCTTGAGAAGATGCTAGCGTTAAGTCGGGCGTGTCCCATTAAAAGAGGAGTGTCCAAAAATAAGCAGAAATTAGTCTGGAGCGGATGTTCCTATAATGTTGACGATGGCTTGCTATGTTTGCATACGCTTCATTTTTGCTTCTCTCCCGAAAATGCGCCTGTAGGAGGACATGTCCGACCTGACGCCAGCGTAGGATGTCGGGGGGCCCGGCTGACCTCAGCTCCTGCAAGGCCTCCCACCTCGCGCAGGTGGCCCGCTGCTCGTGCGCGGCCGCGTACCCTCCCCGCGCTCCCGCGCCGACCCGCCCGGTCTGATCGGGCTCCGCCTTAGTCTTTCTCTCGGCTCGTGCCCTTCCGCTTCGTGCCTGCTCGGGGTTCCTTTACAAGCGTGGGGGGGTACCCCCCCGACGGGTGTCAACCTCGCCTCGTCGTCGCGCCGCGACGGGGCTCGGAGCGCCTTCGGCGCGTGGTGGCTGCCCGCGACGGGGGTCGATGTGGGTCTGTCGGCGGGGGTGACGCCCCCCCGACGCTTATTAAGAAACTCGGAGTAGATTCGTCCCCCACATCGACCCCCGTCGCGGGCAGCCACCGCGCGCCGAAGTCGCCCCGACCCCCGTCGCGGCGCGACGACGAGGCGAGGTTGACCCCCGTCTGCGGGGGGGTACCCCCCCCACGCTTAAGTAGTAAGAAACCCAGAGGATGTTCGTTTCGCTTCCAGTGCGGCCCACCGCTCGCTCTGACTGGCGCCCGGCCGTCTCGCACACCCTGGCGCCCGCGGATACATATAAGTGCCCGGAGGCCCGGGTGTCCTTCTCCGCCCTCGGCTCTCATTTGGTGTTTTTTCCGAGAGGACGCTTCTTGTGCCATGCGCTCTTGCCCGGATCGCCGCTGCCGTGCGTGGTGTCATCTCATGCGTCCCCAAGGCTGCCACGCAAAACATCTTGGCCCTTCGTGGCCCCTGTGCCGTGGATTCGCGGCGCCCACCGGGGGGGGGGGCAGGAGAGGGGGGGGGGGTAAGAAAACCGCGGGGCTTCTCAGACGCCCGCCGGGCTTCTCAGGGCTCATTTCGATTCCTCCGATTCGGTTCGATTCAGTTTTGATGGCTTCCGATTCCGATTCGATTCGACTTCGGGTTCCGATCTGGGCCCCGACGCGCCGATGTCCTACTGGAGGCCTTACAAGCATGCCGACTTCTGCTGATCCGACCTTTCACGGATTGGGGGCCGATCTCCGCCGATCCGACTCTTGATTCTTTCCGATCGCCGATCCGACATCGATTCGATTCGGGGCTCGCCTGGCCAAGGGAGCGCCTCGGTGCGACGAGCCGGCCCCCAGATGTGCAAGCCCGCGGGGGATCCCGCACTGCCCGCTTCTCTCTCTGGGGCCGGGCCGCTCCCGCCCTCGTGCCCGCCCCGCGGCTCACGCGCCGCTCCTATAGCCCTACCAAACAATGTTCAAAGAACCCTTTGGGGCTTCCACGAAATGTCCTTTGAACATTTCTGGCGGAGCCTGTCCTGCTTTATCACATCGGGTTTATGTTCTAAGAACATTGTTTTTGTTATTAGAACATCTTTGGGTTCTACGAATATCTCGTGGTAGGACTATAGGAATGCTGGGACGGTCGGTCCCTGCTCAATTGAGATACGTCGCAGAAGAAGAAACGCCATGAGCATGAACTTTTGTCGGGGGTGGACAGACCTCCTACCTTGACGCGTCGATTCAGGAATTGGCCGTTTTCGGTTCGCGAGAGGGCGTCGCGGCCGTCACTTTTGCGGGTCCAGGTCCGTCAGTTTCGGCCCCAGGCCGTTTTCACTAAGGGGAGGTCTACTACAGGGAGATTTGTCCACCGCCGATTTTGGCGCTCCACGCGGATTTCTTGGATCCGCGCTGGGACCCCCGGCGGCGCCTCCAGCGCCGCCCCTGGCGTGCCCCGCAGGCCAGGGAGGGGCGCAGCGCAGATCCCACAATTCCGCATGTTGATGTTGATTTTACTTGTTCGAATACTGGCGTTGCCATTTTTTCACCGAGGGCGTTTTCGCCCGGTTCCGGGCCCCGGGGCCCTCGCCGACCCCTCGGAAGATGACGCAGAAAGATGGGGCCCGTGGTTAAGGTGGTGATGTTTTGCGATGTTGCCACTTTTCGACAACGTCGGCTCTCGGGGATGTTGCAGACCGCCGACGGGAGCCGCTCCAGGCCACCGGTCCTTCTTCTCCTCCCCTCGCCAGGGGCATCGATACAAGGGGATTGCTTAGGGGGGACGCATCGACCCCCAATCGCCCGCTGATCGCCGATGTAGGCTACATGATGTAGGGCCTGATAGCCCCACTCCTCTCAGGGTCGTGGGGATTCGCCATCGGGCGCCTCTCGCCGATCTGTCCGCGATTTTTCGCCGATTCCGGGTCGATGTTCCCCCCCGTTGTGCCTGTGGGCCTGAGAGACCTCCTGAGGCAACTTCGGGCTCACTGTTCAAAAGGACGGCGGTTCGTAAATTCAGCTCCCCCTCTCGGAGGCTCAAAATTGATGACTTGCGGCCGTGTGGGGGCGTTTTGGGGGCGCTTCTGGCCCCCCCTAGAGTGGAGGCCAGTCCACAAGAAACCTTCCACAAGAAACCCAACCCTGAGACCCCAGGACGTCCATGAATTTTTTGTGTGGGAACGTCGCGCTTCCCACTGCAAAGCTATCGAAACCCAAGCAACCCAGGGCGCCCTGGAGGCAAGCAGGGTGTTTCTTGGCATGGGCCCCCGACTGTAGTCCATCCGCATTCTGGGGCGCCGGTGGCTGCGGTGCCGGCTCCTGACCAACAGGTCTTGCCGTGCAGGGGTGGTGCTGCCAAACCCGATTGGGGGCCTGGACCCCTCAGGGCCTCCCAGGATTCCCCAGCAGCAGGAGGAGGAGGAGGAGGAGGAGGAGGAGGAAGAGGAGGAGGAGGAGGAGGAGGAGGACGAGGCGGGGGGAGGGCTATCGATGCCTCTCAACTCGGCGGCCAATGGAGAGCGTGGTAGTCCAGCGGAGCTGGAGGGGAGGGGGCGGCGCCCAGTTCACCTGCGCCCGCATATAGTTTTTTTTTTTTTTTAGTCGGGCGTGTCCATCGAATGGAGAAATGTCCAACAGTAGTCCAAAAATGGTCGGGGCACGATTTTTCGACTAGGTTTTGATTATTGTTGGACATTTGTTTGACTATGTTTTATGCGTCCTCCAAAAATCCGCCTGTAGGAGGACATGCCAGACCCAAGTAGACTTGCTGGAGACCGCCAGCGGACAGGCCCACGCGAGCGTCAACATGCGTCTACTGGACCGTCGGTCTCTCACCCGTCCCTTTTCTTCCCTTTGCCTCCCCTCCACGGTACAGGCCTCGGACAAAAGTAGCGAACACTCCTGCCACATTCGTCTGTCAACGCGTCCCCCTCCTCCCAAATGTTCAGAGTTGGCGGTGGGTCTGATGAGTTGCACCTCGACCGCAGTCTCCCCCGCGCGTGCCAACTTTGAGAGTTTGGGGGGGAGGGGGAGTGTTCAGTAATCGTGTCCCTCTGCCGTAGTGCGCCCAGTGCACCTGCGTCCCCGTAGACTTACTGAAGGCCGCCAGTGGACAAGCACACGTGAGCGTCAACACGCGTCTTCACGTAGCACGTTCGGGAGACCTCGTCTGTGCCCAATATTGTTGTCTTTTCTCGTGCCCGACGCGGGTTCGATGTGGACTCGGCACGGGTTTGGCGTGGATTCGGCGAGGAGTCGGCGAGTCCGACACGGAGTCGACATGGATTCGGCGCCTACAGCGGCGCGACGGGACAGGCAAGGTCCCCCGACAATGCAACATAAGCGTGTTCTGGGTCGTCGGTCCCCCACCCTTCTCTTTCCTTCCCCCTGCCTCCCAAATACGTACCCGCTACTCCTCCCCCCCTTCCCCCCTGCACGTTGCTGACCCAGTCCAGCAACAGTTGCCGCCATGATCTCTTGCAGCTCGGTAGCTGCAGTGCCCGTCACCGTCTACGAGGAGGCCGTGCTGCAGCGTGCCTGTCCAGGCCCGCAGCGACGAGCTCAGAGCTGCCTGCCGTACAGGCAGACTGCACGCCCACGGCATTTGTACAGCTCCTCCTGCCCCGCCTGCGGAACGACATGGGCGGAGGTCGGTGCTGCGGTCGTGCTCGGCCCCTCCGGAAGCAGCTCGGGGCGAGCAGATTGAGTTTATCCGAGTGTGCGATACCATCCATGCTCACGCGCACAATTCGAGCAGGCTGGAGCCTTCGCATACGGCCCCCAGTCTTCACTTTCAGTCTTCGGGCGCGAAGGCATGCTCATGCTCAGAGCGGTTTGCCTAGTCGCGCGCATTGTATCACTCGAGATCGTAATCGGCTTGCGCATGTGCGCGCTTCCAGGAGAAAGCCCTGGTGATGGCCTTGGTAGATGTGCGGGTCATCCGAGCAATCACATGTACAGGTGCATGATTAGTCGAATCAACCTGCTCTGGTTTATTTTTTGACGTACACAGCCTATTTCAAAGCGTCATTGTATACAGGGCGACTCGACAGAACAGTACAATAAGGTCATCGCCGCCTGCACTATTTCAGCATGCTAGCTGTTTGAGTAGAGGGTACCCTGTGCACATCTTTCGATGCCCAAACAGCGCGCACATAGCGCACGCGACTCAAGCCTCACGGTGTAGCAAAAATAGTCACGCATTGTTGATGCCATGGCTGGCGAGATCGGGTATGCATCCCTGAGGAGCGTATCTAAGGTTTCTGCGGGCATAGTCTTCAAATGGAAGAGCCCCCAGGACAGTCCAGGTGATATTCGGGACGCCCGTCGAATCGCCAGACATATGAGACATCCGTTTTGATGGGCCCCTCATTTCAAATCTGTCGAGTGCGTGGCACATTGCAGTTTCAGGCCATTGCAAATGTCTGACAAGTGGCCCTCGCACTACCGACAGGTCGAAGCAGACTGTGCGCATCGCGTGTCGCCACCAGCTCATGGGCGAGGTGCCGTTTTCGGAAGTCCCCGGCTTTTGGAGGCTTCGTGACGCCCTCCCAGGAGTCCTTGGGAATATATAAGGATCTTGGGGAATCCTCCTCCTCCTCCTCCTCGCCCCTCTCCTCCTCCTCCTCCTCCTCCTCCTCCTCCTCCTCCTCGTCCTCCTCCTCCTCCTCCTCCTCCTCCTCCTGGGGAATCCTGGGGAATCCTGGGGGGCCCTGAGGGGTCCAGACCTCCAGTTGGGTTTGGGAGCACCACTCCTGCACGGCAGGACCTATTGGTCAGGAGCCGGCACCGCAGCCACCGGCGCCCCAGAGGGCGGCTGGACTACAGTCGGGGGCCCATGCCAAGAAACAACCTGCTTGCCTCCAGGGCGCCCTGGGTTTCTTGGGTTTCGATGGTGTTGACATGGAAAGCGTGAGACGTTCCTGCGCCAAAAATCGATGGGCGTCCTGGGGTCTCAGGGCTGGGTTTCTTGTGGAAGGTTTCTTGAAGACTGGCCTCGAGTGTAGTGCAAGGAGCCGGCGCTTCCGAGGGCCGGATTCTAGTGGCCAACGACTTGCCCAGAGCCATTGGACCCCAACCCCTTCGGGCAATGAAAAAATCATGACGGGAGGTGTTTTGCTATTTCCGGCCTCCGAGGGCCTTTTTGGGCCCTCGGGACCGTCAAACAACGACTCAGGAGAAAAAAACGGTCCAGGGGAATGGGTCGAGACCTCCAGGGGTCGACGCAATGAAACAATCATGACGTCGGGGATCTGGGGAGTCAGCATCGAATAACCGACCCCTGTCCCCGTCCCCATCCCTGTCCAGAACCCTACAATATCAGCACCCCAGTTGGGTATACACCTCTCGAGACCGGACGGGAACAGCCCATATCCCCAACTACGGAGGCAAACTGGCCAGTGGGCCCAGGCCACGCCCATAGGGATGGGGGCCAGTTAGACGGTGCTCATGGATGTAGGGGTGGCAAACCCTGTGATCTCGAAGAGCAGACAAAGGCATACACATATTTTCCTGGAGCTCCCGCGGATTCTTGGATCGGCGCTGGGCCCCCCGGCGGCGCCTCCAGCGCCGCCCCTGGCGCGCTCCGCGCGACAGGGAGGGGATCCCAGAATCATCGCAGACCTCCCAAAGTTTATGTTTATGCAGCTCCTGCCTCTCATATCGGAGGATCCAGTTTCGGGCTTCGCTTGCGTGTCGTGCGTGACGGGTCGGGGGTGCGTAGTCGTGCGCGTGATATCGTGGCGCTGGCGGCCGCGCTCAGGATTCCAACTCCGCCGCCGGGCGGGCGTCCTCGTTCGGCGTTTGGCGTGTCCTCATGCTTTGGCGTCGGCGTGCCCTCGATGGTTTGTCGGTGGTATTCCGATAGGGCCCCGATTGCTTCCTCACAGTCTGTCGATTGTGCTCCAATGTTGTGTTGATTGTGCCCTGGTGGTATCTGGATGGCTTGTTGGTTGTGTCCCAGTGGTGGTGGTGGTGCCTCTACAGTTTCTTGGCAGTGCCCCGATTATTTGTTGATGGTATTCCGATGATGCTCAGATGGCATGTTGGTGCTGTCTTGACTGTGTCCTGACTGACTTGGATGTAAACCGAACGTGCGTAGTATCTGTGTCGAACGTATCAAACAGGTTGAACCAAGTGTCCAGGCCCAATTTGAAACAATTGTGAACAACAATGGCAATCGAATGTAAGGCACGCGTAGATACAGGTTGGGAAGTTGAGCATCCTGCGTGAGTTATTGATTCAGCACGCCCAACGTAGACTAATTGAACCACATGAAAACCATATTGTACTTGACAAATTGATAGTGGATCGATTGCGAGTCGTGCGGCGAGAGATTGGAATCCAATCTGGAGAGTTCCAACCCTCAATCTCGGTAAGATCGTGTATTCGCCAGTCGTACACGTAGCCTCGCTGCTACGAAGTACGGACAGCGCACATGCAAGCACATCACATGATGCAACCACTGGTACGCGGCAGAAGACGGGCCACACGACCGACCGGCATTTGAAGCATGCCCGACGCCAGTCGAGTGTTGGCGTGTGTGTGTGTGTGTGTGTGTGTGTGTGTGTGTGTATGTGTGTGTGTGTTTGCGTGTGTGCGCGTGCTTGTGGTTGCTTCGCCTCGCCGCCGCGTGCGAGGCCGCGACCGCCCCCAAGAAAAGGGTAAGTGTGTGTATATTTGTGTTTGTGTGTTTGTGTGTGTGCGTGTGTTTGCTTCGCCTCGTCGCCGGGTGCGAGGCCGCGACTGCCCCAAGAAAGTGTAAAAGTGCTTGTGTGCGTGCTTCTGTGTGCTTGTGTCTGCCTGTGTGTGTGTTTGCGTGTGTGTTTGTGTATGTTTGTGTTTGCGTCCGTGCGCGTGTCCCTTGCGCCGTTGCCTTACCCCTCCTCGCTTGGGCGCTGCCTGTCCGCCTTGCTGCTGCCCCCTGGGTGCTCCCTGGTCGGCTCAGGCTTCCGCGTGCTGCCCTCTTTCCTGAACGGTGGCTGTGGCCGCAGTCCTGCTGAGCCTCGCTTGGCGCTTCGGCCTGTTTTCCGCCGCGCTGCTCCTCCATGTCCTCTTTTCCCCAGGTTCCCCTCTTCCCCCTCGTCCCTTACAGGCAGCGCGCGTAGTAAGGACGCATGCCTTCATCTTGGGTACCCTTGAGTCCTTGCCTCTGCGGCCCGTCCTTCGCCGTTTTCACTGGCCGCCCCCCGCCCCAAAAATCCAACTTCGGCCTCCAAGGGTCTTGCGTCCTCACCACCCGTCCTTAATAAACGTTTTGACTGTACCCTCGCGGCTGCCCCGCCCCGCGAGTGATGATGACGATGCCCCGTGGGTGGATCCAGCTTCTCCCCGCTGCGTGAGCTGGGCCAGCCCGCGCGCTCACTCTCAACGTGACCTGCGCCGCGCCGCCGCACTCGTGGCCGCGACGCCAAACAAGTGTGTGTGTGTGTGTGCGTGTGTAGGTGTCCACGTGTATGTGTGTCAGTGTGTGTGTGTGCGTGCGTGTGTGTGTGTGTGTGTGTGCGTGTGTGTGTGTGTTGTGTTGTTGTTGTTGTTGTTGTTGTTGTTGTTGTTGTTGTTGTTGTTGTTGTTGTTGTTGTTGTTGTTGTTGTTGTTGTTGTTGTTGTTGTTGTTGGTGTGTGTGTGTGTGTTTATTGTGTGTCTTTGTGTGTTGCGTGGGTGTCGCGTGTATGTGTGTGGTGTGGTGTGTGGTGTGTGTGTGTGCGTTTGTGTGTGCGCGTGTGTGTCTGTTTGCGTGTGTCGTGTGCGTGTGTGTGTGTGTGTGCGTGCGTGCGTGCGTGGGTTCGTGTGTGTGTGGGTCGTGCGTGTATGCGTGCGTGCGTGCGTGGGTTCGTGTGTGTGTGTGTGTCGTGTGTGTATGTGTGCGTG